TTTTGAAAATGTTGTATTTTGGACATGCTTTGTCAGTTGTCATTCAAACTTGGTACATAGATTATACATGTTAGGATACATGTCCATGACGATTTATTTTGCAATTGGATCAAAGATGGTCGACTGGCAGGCATCTTGTTTTTGTTTTTTTATGCGGTATCTTGGACATGCTCTGTCAGTTTTCATTCAAATTTGGCACATACATCTACTTTATACATGTTAGGATGCATGTCCATGACAATTTGTTTCAAAATCTGGTCAAGGATGGCCGATTGACAGCCATCTGACTTTTTGGCCTTACTACTATTTTTCCACAATTTATGTACCATTTTCATTCGTATTTGGCACATACATCATACATATCAGTGTGTTTCATAATCAGATCAAAGATGGCTGAATAACGACTGTTTTTATTTTAGCCATATTACTATGACACGAAACACGTGTATTGATGTAAATAAACAATCTGTTGTATACGCCACTTGGAACTCAAATTTCAAGGACACGCTCGCGACAACCCCTCCGCTTTACTATGACTAGCACAAAGAGAACTTAACGGGGACTGTGTCATTTTCAATGACTTGTTGACATGTGATCTTTATATAGAAGTTGAATACATAAGTAATGTATGAAACAAATTTCTTGGTTTACAGTTAGGAACTTTGTCAACTTTATACTGTATGGAATAAAAAAATATTCTTATTTGTCTTGCTGAAATTGAAAATGTCTGTGTGGAGGCTAATGTAAAACACTGAACATTTAAGTTGTTTGCCACAAGTCACATGAGATTACATTATATGTAAATTGTTACTATAAAGGTGGTTAAACTTAGGTTACTATACAGTGCATGTTGGTATTAATCATGAAAATCAATAAATGGCTCTATTGTGAAGATATTTGTTGCTAGGATCAGTCGACTACCAACCGTGCATGTGCTTGATTACCCAGCAACAGTAAAAGACAACCAATCTCACTGTCTGGTATGTTTTATATCATAGATTAAATGCTGTATCTTTCATTTTCCACATCAGGAGATTTACCATTGCCTATGGGCCATTATTTAGAAAACAACGCACAGCTTAAAATACGTGTAGAGATAACTTATCCATTGACAACACCTAAAGATTTACAACAGAAATCACAAATGGAAACACGGCCACAGGTACGTTAATTATTTGTTGTTTTCTCACCCAGTGATAGATTTGAACATAGAGGGCGCCATATATATCAAGATATAAAAATAACATTTTTATAAGATTGGCATGAGCTGAGGAATAGGAAAAGTCTGGTGACCAATCTGAAAAACCAAAATAAGAAAAATGGACAATTTAAAGATTCCCAAACATTGTTCTTATATAAATCAGATTTGTCTTGTCAACAGCTGGTTATTATAAATGAATTTTAAACCTACACCTCTCAAAATAATTGTGATATAATTGTGATATTTTGTCTCGTTTATTTACTTATTCAAAAGCAGTTTTACAATGGCCAGGCCACCAACGTGCATCTTTGCATCTGGTGTGATGTTTCACTTCTCGCTGGACCACTGTTTGAGTGTCATTACTTATCATTATTTGTTGTTGTCTTTACAGTGCCCCATGTCTCGCATCATTTACATGTTTCAATACATGAACACCAAGTTTTTACATCACTTGCAAGGTCTGGTTACTGCCATCAATGCAAGAGCTTTGAATTTAGACAGTATGCCAAAACATGTCGTCGAAGCTGCTCTATCAACGTATAAACTGTCAGAGTAAGTACATAAACATGTCTTGTGTTTTACATTGAATAAGTACTGACAAATATTGTGAACTCATAGTAGTTGCTGACATGAAAAGTAAAGCAAGTAAGTAATACACCAAATAAACGAAATGGGGAAATATTATGTCAAATCAAAGTAAACATTACTTTGAGCTTACGGCACCTTATTGCCTAGCTTCACATACCCCCCTCAGACACCGGCTTCCCAGAAAAGGATGCTTAATACCTAACAAAGTTTATTATGTGGGTTTCATGCTCACTTGGTTTTATTAAGCAATTTGGGGGGGGGGGTACCCGGTGGCTGATGGGGAAGACATGCTTTTATGTGATGCTAGGCGATTAGGTGGCCTTCAGAAAAAGACAAGACGTCTGTGCAATATTTCCAACTCATATGCATCTATTGTCTTCAAGTCTTTGTATTGTTATAGTATAAGACCACTTTTACTTTGTCTTGACTTCACAATAGCAATGTTTCTGGTTAATATGACTGGCAGTAAATGTAACATACATTGTTCACCTCATGATGAAAATTATCATGGCAATAAAACACATATCAATTGTAATCTTTGAATTTCATTTGAAATTAATGAAAATATATATCTGATCATACTTGTGTATAGTAGTCTTGATAGTACTGGTTCTGCTCCATGTAAAGTAGCACATGTTTTTTGTTGTTTTTTTTGCAGGGAACAACAGAGAAGCTGTGATTTAGACATTGTGACAGGGTTCCATGTGATGGACGGGCAAATTCATATATTTGTTTTAGAAGGTTTGAGAGATCAAGCAATCCAACAATTATGGCAGACACTACCACATCCATCGATTGAAGGCAAGTATAACAGAATTATGTCAGAAGTTGTGGTATTCTATTATGATTAAAACAGATCAATTGATTTATTAGATGTGAAACAAAACTATATTGCATTCTTCAGCTGGTAGTTTGTTGTTTGTATCAGTATTACCAAGGGGAGGTTAGTATCTACAACAGGTGACCAGCAATCCCGGAATGTTATGGTGTTATTTTGGTCTAAATGTGCATAATGATGCAAAGAATGTATCGTTTGTTTTTTTTGCAAGGTTGATTGATGAATTGTTTTTGTAATAATGACTTGTACCAGTGTGTCTTTTCCCACAGGATGAGCATTTGTCACATGCTCTTGCCCAGCTATATTTGCAATTATATTGCAAATCAGTTTTATCATTGATTCTCTATGTCATTGTAACAATTGCCCAGAATACTAATGTTACTAATTATAATTGATCTTAGTTTTTTAAGTACCGGTATACTTTGTTCAATGGATTGCATGACAATTCTTGATTGAGTGTAAAGTCACTGTTCTCTCAATCAACACACTGAGTGTGTTGCTTAGCATTAATACCTTCTCATTATGTGTTTTTATTCAGATGATAACCCATTTGAAGTGTTATATAACTCTGACATGATGTTCAGTGAAAGACAGTATGCAACATTGGATGTGGATTTGACCAGAGTGCGATTACATGAACCCCTGTCTATTATAATACAACAACCCCTGTTATATGTACGAGATATGGTACCAAAGCCATGTTTAGATGCAATTATCAAGTTAGATCAGGTATGTTGTCAGTATGGTATCAAAGCCATGTTTAGATGCAAATATCAAGTTAGATCAGGCATGTCGTCAACATGGTACCAAGGCCATGTTTAGATCTATCATCAAGTTAGATCAGGCATGTTGTCAATAATGGTACCAATTATACTGTTGAGAATAATATATTGAGATGGAATATTTTTCTCTTTAAATTTTAGTTGACACATATGAAGAAGTTGCGTGATGTGGCTCGAAATGATCTTTTTCCAACGTCTGAAATGATTTTGTCACTGAGTAGAGAATTTGGTGTCCCTCTAACTACTGCTGATTTTGAAGGTGAGTATTCTGTGCATTGGTCTTATCTGTAGAATTGTAGTGTTTTCCACAGGATGTTGAACAAGGGTGGCAGCTAATTTGCATAATATTTAACATGTATTTTGCATAATTTTTTCATAGTGTTTGTAAATTTGTTCCAGTTTTCACAAATTGCTTTACTACATCTGCCATTTGTAGCAAAATATGTGGTGGAGGATTATTGGTTAATTAAAAATCCTACGCAACTACATTGTATAAAATATCACTGGCCGTAGTGGGAACTGAACAGCCTTGGGTGTTACCTTAATCAATACGGAACTACCCAGAATGCAGTATTTCAGTTGACGCAAAAATATCATTACAATTAGATCTGCACAACAACCAAAATCTTAATATTTATAATAACACAATAAATGTTTTGAATTACAGAACTGAAGGAAGTTGAGAGTGAGACTGACATAGATGGTAAACATGTCAGTGTGCAGTATGCCCAAACCAGCAGAGATTGGACACCTATTGACATGTATAATGAAAACTATTTACATTATTTAGAGGAACGATCAAAATATGCACATAAACAAGACTACATCAAGCAAAACATAGTAAGTTTGGATTGTTAATTTAATTAATTATCGAGAATGATTGTCTTGTTTGAAATATTTGTACTAGTCTATGTGATAAATTTGTAATACTGTGGAATACTTTGTTTTAGCTGGAATTAATTTTCACTGAAAAGGCTTTTTGGGCATTTTGCTTGGAATTTATTTTCACTGATTTTTCATGAGTTTAATGTGAAATATAGGAAAAAAAGTATATTCGCTGGATTTTATTTTCACGGAATCATCCCTTCAGCGAAAATAAATTCCAAGCGAAAATAAAGTATTTTACAGTATTGGGTACTGTAAAATACTTTTAGCTAGAATTAATTTTTGCTGAAAAGAATTGATAGGTGTTTTGTATGGAATTTATTTTCACTGATTTTTGACAAGTTGAATGTAAAATATAGGAAAAAAGGTATATTCGCTAGATTTTATTTTCACTAATTACAATCATCCCTTCAGCGACAATAGCGAAAATTAATTCCAAACGAAAATAAAGTATTTTACAGTACTTACAGTAGAACAAAATTATGCGGATCAATCAATATATGATGATACCATCATATCATAGCTGGCATTATTTTGTGGCAAATATATTGGGTTATTACTTCAAATTTGTGTAATGATTACTAAAATCTTTGATTTGTCTCATTACTTATCATGTTATAATGTAATTATTGTCTAGAATAATGTACACGAAGCCAGTAAAACCAATGAAAGAGTTCGGCCGAAAACAATAGCTGCAATTCCTACCAACGGCACAGTACATAATTATAGTACGCAATATTTGAATTCCATGGAACAAGCTCGAGAGAAGTTACGACAAGAATTGGCAAAGGTGGGTCGCATGGAACCTCTGCCCTGGATAGTACCTCCATGGGTGACAATACACCCTATGTTATATTTATCACAAGTATTATGCAGTATGTGTGACATCACATCCCCTGAATGACAAATTTGATTGGTCCTGCACGCATTTGAAATGTGACGTCACCAACTAGTCACTTCCTAGAATGCCAAAACATAACTCATTTAGTGACTAGACTTATTTTTGTGAGAACTGTTTGAAATATAATCTATGTGAATGTCCTCACTATATAACGATAGTTTCATGCATCATGTATTTTTGTTTTAAATCGCATTTGAGTAGTTCGTTAATTATCTTTATCTTACCTTGGCAGCTCATGGGGTTCATTTGATAAATACGATATCAATATCCGTGACCATGTACCATAGTATGGTATTTATTCAAACTTGTGGTTGATGTACAGTTAATAACTTCACCCTAATGTAAAAGGTTATTTCTGATTCCTGTTTATAATATTTTTAATTAAGGATGTTCATCAACGGTTCACATACTGTCAAGATTACAATTCATCTACCGTGGTACCGGTAAATATGACACAAGAAGAGTCTGTGAGTAAAGACAGTTGGAGAACTCCAGATGGGTTCATTTACCCTGGAATTAAAAATGCACTTGAATCAAATGAGCATATAAAGAGACCACATCCAGCAAAATGTGATGAGTTAAAAGAGGTATGTTCTTGTCATTGCATACTAATAATAATGCTGACTTGTATGCTAATTGTCTTTATGTTCAGGTATCTCCATGCCAGGTTGGCTCTTAAATAAGATGCTGGTCATCGCAAAATGCATGTGTGAGAGTTTGTGTTCATAAACAGTGATTTTCTCACAGCCCAATTCAATGCCCTCCCCCTCATTGCAAGCAGGATTATTAGTTTTAATTTGCCTGCAATGTGTACCTAATACTAACTTCAAAACCAAATCAATGCGACCTTAGAGCATTGAGAGGAGGTAGATAGAATATACTGGTATATCTCTTTCCTAAATTTGAACACCAACCTGTTATTATATATCTTCTATTAATACATGTACTAAGATTTTCGTTGATGCATAGATTTCTATATTCAAAATTGTTTTTGAAAATCCTACTTTCATGAAAACACAATTATAGTGTTGGATTGACTCCGGAATCTAAAACTCACCATTCTTGTTCAAAACTCAAATTTTACATATTTTTCTAAAACTTAATTGTTAATTTTGAACCTGATCAAAAAATGTTTAAAACTATGAAGCAAGTTTTCCCATAAAAGATGATAAAAGCGGACTATGGCATTCAATGGATTAAGAATGATATTATGTTTTATGTATTACAGTATTGGCGAGAGAATATTCTGCACAGTAATATACTGAAACCTACGTTAGAACGTGATAGGATGACCTGGTCTGAAAGGGTATCTGATTTCAACCTATGGTCCAAGCCTGCTGGTGCATTTGATCCATCTGTGCCACCAACTATACATCATGCCGGTGACAAACTAGCAGCCGAACAAGAAGCTGCTGCCAGGTTTGAACTGGAGAAATGGAAATCCAAAATAATAGTTGATGACACAAATGTGCATTTCCATCGTTGTGCGACGGATACCGAGCAGACTTACAGAGGACCTAAATCTAGCAATCAACTGGATAAACTGCAAGGTCTGCTGAAGGATGAACCAAAAAAGATTGGATTGAAGAAATCTCCGGTACTTCATGATATTCCAGCATTATCAGTCGTGTTGAATCCTAGTGTTGACACGAAAGCAAGACATGGTGAACTACCAGTAATAGATCATGATAACTGTGTGAATCAGTCTCACCATGGCTATAACCCTGGACCATATCAGACACTCAGCTGGACTCTTCCACATAATAGGATACCTATCCGTGATATGCAACATGCCAAATTTGAAGCCTTAAAAGGACATGATTTCAGGTAAATATCCAATGAGAGGTTGAAATCAAACACTCACTGTATCAGTACTGGTTCACTCTGAGTAGTGTAATTCAAATCATCACTTGCCAAAAGCTGGACAACAAATTGAAAAAAAATGATATACCTATAATATTGTTGTGAGTGTTGCCCCATACAAGTAGATGTACCAGCAAAGCAAAAAAACTGTTTCTTCTACATGTAGCAGGGAGTGTCTTTGAATATGGAATCAATCTAACTTGACTTATATATTTTCGTATAGTTATGTTTGCTATTTTATAATCTGCCATATTTCATTATGTATATTTACAGTCCAATGATTTTTATAATTATTATTATATCTATCAATTATATTCACAGACTGTATCACAAAGAGAGAAGCGTTCTGAGTCGTGTACCGATTAAAACACTGTCCTCAGAAGATAGAAATAATAATTTATTTGAACTAGGAGGCACTGAAGACTACAGATATTCAAGTATCAAGTCTGGTAATATATGTTACCTGCAGCCACCGCCGTCTATTAAAGCAGCACCTTTACATACAGAATTTTACTTTCCAGACAGAGACAAGTATGCTGAGAAACCCACATGTAAGAAAGCTGCTGCTCAGCTAGCAGCATTGAACTAAATAATGTACATTCCTGTAGAGGCCTTAATGAGATGAAATAAACAGTGTACAAAGTTTGATTATGTTTGTTGTGTACAGTCAAATCATATTTTTATATTTAAATGTGAATTCTATTTTATAAATATGGTGTAATTAAGATGGTTTCGGTTGGTACTTCTGGTAATGACACAACATTTGTCATTCATGCCACAATATCTCAGCTCTCATTGCAAAGTTGGCTAATAATACAACGACAATTGTCTTCATTTCAAAGTCAGTCATTAATAGAACAATATATCCGTCCTCATTGCATGGTTGGCTTAAGTTAGTCTCCATCCTCATTACACAGTTGGTCATTAATATGCAGTGACCATGTTCATTTCAAAGTAAGTCATTATTACAAAGAATCCATCCTCATTACACAATTGGTCATTAATATGCAATAATCATGTTCTTTCCAAATTTAGTCATTAATACAATGTTTCCGTCCTCAGTGCACAGTTTGTCTTTAATATACGATGAAGATGTTTATTTCAAAGTTAGTCATTAATGCAATGTTTCTGTTCTCATTCCACAGTTGGTCATTACGGTAGTATGCGATGACCATGTTCATTTCAAATTTAGTCTTTAATACATTATCTCTGTTGTCCAATAATGCAACACCGTCTTCATTGAAAATGTCATCATTTATACAACCATGTCTCCCTCATTCAACAGTTTGTCATACAGCACTTTATCCTTCATCATTGCAAAGAAGACAGTTGATTTTACACTGTGATTCCCTAGTTGCTTGGCTGAAGCAATTTTTTTCCATCATCGTAGTGTAATTTAATTGCAATTCATACAGCAATAACTAGCAATGCAATTTATTTATCTTTGAGACATGCGGCGCAGTTCAACTATTATTTCTTCCAAGTACATTGAAATCATTGGATAATACAAAGCAAAGAGTACATAGTACTGAGATTGTGTAAATCAACAGTTTTGAGTGTACTGTATTTGCTTTATTAGAAGTGCAATCTCTAATAGATGCGCACATTAGCCTCAAATTTCATTTACTGTATGCTGATTCACCAAAATATGACTTATTTTGGCATTATAGAGGCACACCTCTGTCATTCACATTAAGAACTAAGTGTTAACTAATAGACAAATGTGGTACTTTTCATCATACAAATTAAATTTTGTATTGTGTTACAAGAAGTTATGATTCAATAAAATGTGACTATATTTACATGTAATATATAGAATATGATATAATGGTGATCATGTTAAATAAGTTTAACAGTGTTAATGGGTACATTATACAACGGTAACACAATCATTCTTTGCCAAATCATCTGCAACAGTAGGTTTATTACTAGTTCTTTGATGTACCAGTTGTGCATTTTCAAATACTAAAGTGTCCAATAATAGCTTTTTGTTAAAACCAGTGATGTTTTCAGAGTTACTGACATGCCAAAATATTTGTATGACTTTATTAGAAAATACAATATATAGGAGTACTTTTGCATATCAGTGTAGTATTTTCTTCCAATATTTGAGATGACTCCACACTTCATTGACACCAACAGTACTGCCATTGAATAATATATCAACACATTCCTTCAATCTCGACTTTGCCAAATAATGTTTGTGAATATGTTTTGTTTGTAAGTGCCTATGCAGTCCATTCAATATGCAATAAAGATTTCTATACAAAGTTACTTTTTATCGACGTGTATGTATATTGTATGTGTGTTAATTGGGAAAGGGGTCCCCAACAATGATGCAGCCACAGAGGTGGATCCGGGATTTGACACTGAACATTGCAGAATTATTTGTCATTCTATTCAAAGTATGGAAAATATTTACCATTTTTGGTTCATTCTGACAGAACTGACTACTATAAAAGAGTTAATTATTCACTGGATTTTAATTTTGCTTATTTCGCTGACTGGAAAATGCGCTAAATTAAAACCCAGTGAATATGTAAAATTTAGCATAGAACACGTTATCTAAATGATAAAACCGTGAATTTAAAACCCACTGAATATGCAAAATTTAAACCCAGCAAAAATTAATCATTTTACAGTATCACATGTAAGTATATATAATATATATATTTCTGAAATTCTCAGTCCAAACTCCACATCAAAAGCGCTGTTCATCATCACAATATTTGCTTGCTATTCCATCAACATCTTATTACAGCAATCAGGATTTCTGCTCCAAAGTTGTGGAATGAAATCCCCTTTGCAATTAGTAATGCCAGTACCCTTAATAAGTTCAAACAAAAGCTGAAGACACATTATGCCAGAATTAGCCACTGAGTTAAACACTTGTATTTTGACAAAATTGTTTCCCTTTCAGCAGCACTGTCAAAGTTAGTATGTGCATAAGGAGAGAGCTCACACAACTAATGTTTACATATTGATCGCATCAAGTTTTTAATTTGCTAATAGCAAGTTGCATATTTGCAGACAAGCAAAAATACATTTTAACAATTACAATGCATCATGCTTGGTCATAATTTTTTTTGGATGATAAAATACTACCGGTATGTGCAATGTTTATGTTTTGCACCCCTATAGTGTAAAATACTTTATTTTTGCTGAAGGAGTGAGTCAGTGAAAATAAAATTCAGCCAATGTCCTATTCCTATATTTTAAATTCAGGTCGTCAAAAATCAGGAAAATAAATTCCATACAAAATACCCAAAAAATAATTTCAGCTAAAATTAAGCCTTTTACAGTATTTTGCACACAGTGTCAGTAAAAATCAATTAGCAAACAAAAGAACAATACAATATGTAACAGAATAGTATCATTCACACTTGCACTGTTCTGATGACACATTCAAAATAAACATTGCCAAAAATGTGATTTGTATCAAAATATTCACAGGAATGATACGTGAAAGGGCACCAGACTTCAGGTATTTTATTCATTTTTGATTATTTGTTGTAGTTCTTTTTCAACACTATCAACAAATGCAGGGAAATTAGCATCACTTAAACATAAATTTAGAAATAAAGATATCTGTTGCTGGTCTATATCCTGAGAATGTACTTGATAAGCTATTGGTAACTGAGGTGACGTCTTGTGACATATAGCCTAGTGATAAATAAGACAAATATATTACAAAACCGTTATTGTATCTTCTTTACTATAATCAATGTGAATTTTAGCTTTAGTAAGCCAGCAACCAACATTCACTCGTCTGTATACCGGGTATATAGTTTACAGGTAGGTGACAAGTCTAAAAATTTCAAAGAAACAGTTCCACATTTAATTTATGCCTTTCATGTTTTGGATCAACAACATTGATTCAAAAGATTGTATTTATTGAAAAAAATTTGGTTAGCTTTTTTTTCCTATTTTTTTTCTTTTTTGTTGTTTACAGTATTTTGGCAAATTGGCAAAAAGTTGTGATCCCCTTTTTAAACAGATTACACGCTGACTAGACCTAGTGTAATCAGAAAAAAGATGCCCATTTAAAGTCACCGGTACCTGAAAATACCTGAACCTTGTACTTTTTCAGATATAAGGGGTTAGAAATGTAATGAGGCCACACAGTTTTATTATAAAACAGATATACATATAAATAAATGTACTATAGCATATCCCCATGCAACACATGGCTCAGCAAACGTGACATTTTAATAAATTACCTGAGCAACATCTTTGATTGCTACTTCACCTTCTAACTGTTTCTCTTCTTTGTTACTCTGTAAAAACATCCAAACTACATGATTATAGATATTATTTCACCCACAGATACAGTATGTCAATCCCTCCAACAATGTGGAAGATTTTACAAGTGGTGTGGTATACACAAATGGAACATTGCATTGTTGACCTGTGACCT